GAGCTGACGGGCGGGGGCGGGGACTGGGTGCGACCATTTTCCTCTTGGGGGGGGGCGGTGTCTTAAAAGGTCCCGACGCGAACCTCACCCTCCCTTCCTGCAGCCCTGCGAGTATTGCCGGCAAAGAGCGAGCGTGCTCGCTGGGAGCAGCTTTCCAAACCGCCTCTGCGTCTGCGCGTTACAGTGCATGTGCGGAGGCTCGTCTACACGGTGCCCACGGTGCCACTGGGTCTTGCTCTGAAACGAGGCGATGACGTCAGAGGGTGGCCCGATGGCGTCATTCCGGGGGAGGGGCTTAACCGCACACACGCTACTTTATTGTTAAACAGGGTTTTTTAAACAGGAGAGGCCTTGGCAGTTGGGCCCTTTTAGCCCAGCGAAGAAGCTCACGACGCTTGTCTAGCCGCAGCCTCCGCTCCAAAGGTGTTGGGAAGCGAGAGCGCGTGGAATGACGTGGTGACACCAAGAGCAGCGGTTACAGGGGCCTGGACGCCGCCCCTGGCCGTTCAGACGGCAGGTTCGGTTCCTGGCCAGGGCACTTCCCCAGATTTCACTCACACTCCTCTTCCCTGCGTCTCCACGAGGACCGACTCGAACTCCCTTCCAGAGTCTCTTCCCCAACCTGAGCCAAACCACAGCCCTGCCCTTCCTCTTCCGCTGAGCAGAGCTCCCTGGAACTCCCACGCGGTGATCAGAAACATCCAGCCTCTTCCCAAGTGCCCCACTGCTCCCCACTCCACTGAATCTCACGGCGCCCCCTTCCCCCAGCCTCTGAGCTCAGCACAGACTCTGTCTGTCTGCGGCCTCTCTCCCTCCCCGGTTCTGCTCCCAGACCATCACTCCGGCCTCTGGGGAAACTCGGCTCATCCCCGCTGGCGGACCTACCCTTTCCCCTCCTCAGTGTGACCACCGCCAATCCTGAGCCTTATCCTCGTGCACTGAGATGTGGCCACCGGCTCCTGGTCTCTCCACCAGCTCCCGCCATCCCTCCCAGTGACTTCACTCCCCGTACGGTCAGCCCATCCAGCACCCTGACCGGTCAGTGCCTTGGCCTCGGATGTCCAAAGGCCTTTCCTGCCCTCTTTCTCAGACACCAGCTCCCACGGACACACCCTGGGCCTTGTCTCCTCCAGGCCATTCAACCCGCAAGGTCACCTGCTGAAATGCTGCCTGGAGCCGGGCTTCCTTCCCAGGGCACCCCGAGCCCAGGGAACTCTTCACATTGTACATCTGCTCTCCTTCCTTCCGCACCCAACGAGAACCTCAAGGAAGATGTGTGGGAAGCCTTTGTAAGCTGTACAGGGCTGCACAGATGTGAGGTGCCATTTGGGGGGTAGAACCGCTGGTCTGAAGGTTGGGGTGAGACAGGAAAGCAGGGGGCAGCAGGATGGGATAGAGACAGCCCAGGAAGGGAGCGGCCAGGTGCTTGGGGACTGAGATCAGAAACCAGAGATGCCTTACACCCTTGCCAGACGGAGCGTCCAGAAGACAGTGCCTAAGGAAGCCCGTGCTGGCCTCAGTCAACAGAGAAGTGCCCCCAGAAGTGAGGCACACAATCACCCCTAAGAATCACCTCTCACCACTGGGGCAGACCATTTTTTTAAAATCCTCATCTGAGGATATTTTTCCATTGCTTTTATTTTTATAAAAATATATGTTATTGATTTCAGAGAGGAAGGGAGAGGGAGAGAGAGATAGAAACATCAATGATGAGAGAGAATCATTGATCAGCTGCCTCCTGTGTACCCCACACTGGGGATCAAGCCTGCAACCCGGGCATGTGCCCTGACCGGGAATCGAACCGTGACCTCCTGGTTCCTAGGTCGACGCTCAACCACTGAGCCACATGAGCTGGACTCCATTGCTTTTAGATAGAGTAGAAGTGAAGGAGGGGAAAGAGAGAGAGGGAAAGAAACATCAATGTGAGAGAAACACATCGATTGGTTGCCTTCCACACACGCCCAACAGGGGCTAGGGAACAAACCTGCAACCCAAATACGTACCTCTGACCGGGAATTGAACCCGAGACCCTTCGGTTCATGGGTGACGCTCTAACCACTGAACCACCAGCCAGAGCCAGGGGAAGACCATTTAAAGAGAGGTTTGACTCACCAACCCAGGGGACAGCTCAAAGTCAGATCTAAGCGTTTGAAGGAAACCTGCTCACTGTACTAGTGGTAACACTCCCGGGACAGTCTGAGCCTGCAGGGGACCAGTTCCCGCAGCTCGCAGAGCCCAGAGAAGCTGGGCTTTGTCCGTGCCTCTCCCACCCAGCCCAAGCGAGGCAGCCCCGAGCGGAGGGTCCCAGGGTCTGCCGTTCCAAGGCAGGCCTGTCCCACCGTGGAACCAGGTGTCATCCTGGCTCCTGACACCACCAACTGCCCTTGCTTCAGCTCCATGCTCCGGATCCAAGTCTATCTTCCCATGGTCATTGTCCAGCTGACCCACGCGGGCCCTCTGCTAGTGCTTGTAAGTTAAATGTGGCTTGTGAATCAGTCCTCATGTGTGTGTGATGGCCATTGCTTCTGGGGCAATGGAGCCTGGCAGATAAGGGACAGAGGGAGTGGGGGTGGTAAGGAAGCAGCACAACAGGGAAAGAGAAGAGGGGGAATCTTTGGGGAGCTCATGGGAATGAAGCCTATTTATTCGTTCATTCATTCATGCATTCATTCAACATGTATGTAAATGTCCAAAATGTGCCAGGTGCCGCTAGAGACGCAACAGTAAACAAAACAGAGCCTGCTCTCAAAGAGCATTCATTCTCCTGGGAGACAGGCAATGAGACAAGACAGCTAACAAGTCGAGCACGAGCGACTTCGTCCCAAAACTGAAGCGAGAACATGAAATACATGAACTCCTGCAGGAGGCTCGGGTGTGAGCTGTCACTGGCTCTACCTATGCACCCACCTGTTGTTCCCCTGCCTGAGACTCCCACCCAGCTTTCGCCTGTGAAACAAGCTCCAGCTTGCACTGTAACACCTCGCTTGTCGAGTCTCCGCCCGTGAGCCTGCCCTGACTCCCCACCCCGTCTGACTTAGATCTCTGTTTTCTTTGCTCCTGATACACCCTGTACCCACGATATCACAGCATCTTACCCTACACTATAATTATCCATTCATGTCTCTCCCTCCAGATGGCTAATAGATGATATTGATTCAGCAGTTACTATGTGCCAGGCCTTTTCTCAATCATATGACATAAACACTACTACCCCTACTTAAAAATGAGACAACGGAAGCTCATTCTAGTTAAGAGATTTTCCCTAGTATTTATCAAAAATTATTGCACAGCCCTAACAGGTTTGGCTCAGTGGATAGAGCGTCGGCCTGCGGACTGAAGGGTCCCAGGTTCGATTCCGGTCAAGGGCATGTACCTTGGTTGCGGGCACATCCCCAGTAGGGAGTGTGCAAGAGGCAGCTGATGGATGTTTCTCTCTCATCGATGTTTCTAACTCTCTATCCCTCTCCCTTCCTCTCTGTAAAAAA